ATTTTAACGGGATTTTTCACCAAATTCATATTTTTATCATTTTTAACCCCCAGAACTCTTATTTTAATTATTTTTCAAGGATTTAATTAATACAAGTTAAAACACCAAAACATATTTAAAACATAACTTGACAGCTTACAACAGAAAAGGTGTGACCTGTTTTACCCAACTTAAACTTAATATTTTTCAAAACTGTTTAATATGCAAATAGTTCAGGTTTATACCTTTAAAATGACTACTTGCACAACTTCATACGATTTTTCTACAATTTATGGTGGTTTTTACAAAACTGCTTATCACAGCAGCAACAAAATCGGACCACGTTGTGAAGATGAACATTTTCACACTAGTTTGAGATCACCAAAAATTATAAGAAAATTTATGGATACAGTAGATTCTTTTTCCAAATACTCAGAGTTTACGGATTCAGTTTTTGACTTACGATGATTTTTCTATAAATATTCTAAAACAGTGATAGTTGAGGGTAAAACTGTCAAATACATATTTAAGAGTTATTCACACCTTGTAACATGTTGAGCAAGGTGTGTAAGATTTACACTTGGTATTTCAATGTCATTTTATTGAAGTACATAGACATGCATGATAAGGTTTCATTCCAGCATACAACACTTTTGATAAACTATAATAGGTATAGTTTTGAACACTCCATTTAACAAAGAAAACAATAACTCTATTGATTTACAAAACGAATATTTCACTACACGCTATGTGAACATGTTAAAAAAATATTTGTGAGACATTCTCCTTCGGGGTACTCTAAGTACCACAAAAAAGTCCTTTAGTTATAATCAGAATCTCCATGGAGGGAGAACGTGATAGTTGTGTATAGATCTATACTGGGTCTGACAAACCCGCATCTAAGCTGCTTGCAACAGCTAGACCGACAGGTCTGGGGTGACAAGTGTCATAACATTCCGACGCCTGAAGAACGTCGCATACAAGGCCATCTAGTCTTTAGTATGATTATAACATCTCACATGGAATATTAACAAACATACAGTTCACGGAAATTCTAAGGCTTTATACAAAGGAGTTTTATTTAAATATAAAACACACACATAAGTATGACGATTTGCTTACACATACTAAGTCTTGTTTCGATTAAGACTACAACAAACCTTTTTGAAAATATTGGATTTTCTGGAAACAAACTTGCAACAAACTTTAAGGAAACAACATTCATTTTTCATAAAATGCTTATGGACTCACCAGCTTTATGCTGATACTCTCTTTTCAAAACAACTTGTATTCTCAGGAAATCAGTAATACAGGTAACCGCAAGATTTCTGAAGTCAAGACGCTAAGGCGTAGATTCTTTTGCTACATTTTATCATCATATGTAATTTAATTGGAAACATGTATTTTTTTTGGAGACATGTATTTTGGAAACAATGTAACCTTTTTAAATTATATCTATGATGGTTGTGTTTTACTTTCTTCACTATGGTTATGATACTGAGCATGACGTCCTCCGCCCCCGAACGTTTCCTCCGTTCTGGTTTGGGGGTGTGACACTAAGCTTTCAAGAGTCAAGATCTACAAGGTGTTCTTGTTATTACTACATAACAAGTATGGTAAACTTGTAAACCCTAATTTCATATAGATTTCGATTTATATATATATGCTAGATCTAGGCTTTTGCTTTGGTATTCAATTTGCATGTTCAACTAGTGATAAACTTAGATCCAACGCAATTAGGGTTGCATGAACACATAGATTGTTGTTAAGCTCAAAACCCATCAGAGGTGTCTCAACTCGGCGAGTTGACCGTTCAGGAGGAAACCCTAATTTTAGGGTTTTGCACCCTATTTAAACACCTTAAGTCCCAGGTGTTGGTCTCATTTCCAGCCTCCATAGTCCCTAACCCTAATCTCGAAACCCTAAAGCCTTTTTTGAGTGTAGTGAGCTCTTTGTGAGTGTGCTATAGTGTGTTTGAAGCCCTTGGAAGAAAGAGAAGCTTGGTGCAAGGTGGTGATTCAAGTAGGAGCCTTCAAGATCTCGATTATTTGCTCCATTTCCAGCATATTTCGGGTATAAAGTTCTAACCTTGCTTAATATTCCTTTAGATCTCTTTTTGGGGCTAGTTTGCATGATTTAGCCACGTTTGAGTGAGTAATGGAGTGTAGGTCGTCCCAAAGGGGTTATTCTTTCAGATCCATAATCTTCATGAGCTCTTTTGGCATAAAGGTGCCAACTTTATGGTCTTAAGAGCTCCATGCATCCATTAAGTCCTTATTATGGCTTCTTTTGAGTATTTAGGCTTATCGTAGCCATGCATGAGAGTAAAGTTGGAAACTTTACGTGTCCTTGCAGCCTTTAAGGACCATATCTGTATTTTTGGGGCTTGTCTTGATGAATAAGTGTTTATTGTTTAATCCTTAACCTTTTAAGCTTAGGGTTTGGGCTCTAAACCCATTAGGATGGTTCTTAAGGGTAAAATTGGAAACTTTACCCTTCTAGACGTTATATCAGTTAAGATTTGAGTGGTGGACCTTTTAGTTTCGAGAATGATAACTTAATAGATTAAGAGGTGTGTTTCCTGAACAACTCGGCGAGTTGGATCGATTTTTCCCGATTCTGCTGACTAAAGGGGAAACTCGGCGAGTTCCTGGGTGAACTCGGCGAGTTGGATCGACTTTTAGCGACTCTGTTGATTTAGCGGGGAACTCGGCGAGTTGAAGGACAACTTAGTGAGTTGAGTCGACTCGGAACTTTGACTTTGACTTTGATCAAGGTTGACCTTTAAGGGGTTTTGAATTATTGATCGGTATCTAAGGGATTGTTTTCGTTTAGGGGTTGAGTGGAGCTGATTTCCGAGGTCGGGATTTATCCAATTATCATTCCACATTCGAGGTGAGTTTTCTTACCGGGTTTAGCAGGTCGAATGCACCAATGTCGGCCCATGTTTATGTTATGCCGATAGAATGCTAGCTGTCTTTGTAACTCTTGCATGTACCTGTGTTTATATGCTTTTGGACTAAGGTCTGATGTCGGGCGTTGCCCGATGACTATTTGTTTGTTGTGTATATTGCATGTGTATGTGTTTATATGCTTTCCGAGCTTAGCTCGATGACCGGGCAGGGCCCGATGACCGAGCGAGGCCCACTATATGTTTACTGTATGTTTGATATGTGGTATTTTGGGGGAACTCACTAAGCTTTGTGCTTACGGTTTTTAGTTTATGTTTCAGGCACTTCTGGTTCTAAGGGGAAGAGCTCGGAATGACTGCATCGCACACACCATTGGGATTCCGCACATGAGGATTTACTCTGATTTTATGACAGTTGATACATTGGTTTTTATTTGAGATGATTGAATGTTATTTAAATCACTATTTTATCTATTATTAAAACAAAATTTTTGGGACCATATTTTTGGATGTTACAAATCGTAGAAGACAATGTGGTGGAGGCGGACTCGCTTGAGGACGATAGCAACGACGTCGAGGTGTATTATGTTTTTGAGTTCTATTTTTGACTTTGTATACTTTAACCAGAAAATTAAATATTTTCAAAACTACACCAATATAGTAAATATATTTTTTAAAAACGCCGTTGTGGTAAAAAAAACTTCATCACATCCACTGAAGATTTCGCACTTCTGTTTTATGGCATTTAATGTTTGTTTTGAGAATACATTTTATACTCTGATTATCTTTGATGTAATGACATGAATGGTTTACTTTATTAGAAATGAAAAAAAAAAAAACAAATCTTAGTATTTTTAAGATGTTATATTATGACTAATGAAAATGAAAGACTAAAAGACTTGGTGATGGTATTCTATACATATTTTTTTTACACTTTTTACAGTGTATCCTAAGCCTAACCTAATTTTTTGAGATGTAGATAAGTATGGAGAATGAAGACCATAGAAGGAGAGTTTGTATTTTTAGAAGTCCATAAGTAATGTAGTGGTTACTTTTGGAACTAATGTTATGATACTATGTTGATCACTCTCATAGTTTTTATTTTGAATTTGTAAATTTTTATAGTTTAAACTATATGAGATTGTTTCACCCTTATCTATAGTTTTGAGTCAGACCTTTGGTCTTACTCATATGGTGACTTTATTTGCTTCAAGTCCTCACATCGATTAGCTCTACACTCTTAATCATCTTATACCATGTTAGGAGATCACTGATTTCGAATAAGGGTATAGTCATAAGGTTTTTCCTTCCAATATCTCAAAAGAAACCATATGACACAATTGTCCTTAGCCAACATGTGAACTACACGAAAATTCCTATATAATGATTCAAAACCCGTACATTTCACAAACACGTATAACTTGAACAAACATATCTATTTTAGACAAATGATTTAATCACCATTTTTTTCCTAAGTCTCACTATATACCAAACAGATTTATACAAACTGAAAAGATATACGGCAAAAGATAACTATTGATCAAAAGCTCTTTGAGATTGAGGTTTCAAGTCTTGTTGGAGATATAGATGAAAATAAAAGTATTTTCAAAATAGATTAGATTTGTTTTTTTTTTTAAATAATAACTATTGAAGTTTTAATTATCCTCTTCAAATTAACCATCCCATCTTATAATCTCACTTTAATCGTGAGTGGGCCCACCACTTGTCGATGAAGCATCTTCATCAATTCATCTATTTGGCTATTATTTCTTATCATTTTACATTTGTACATTGTTTTGGTCACGAACCCGACTTCAACATATTCTTCTCTTCACTGCATTTAGCCACAACCATACACAAACTTGTTGATTAATACCATTCTTTTGGTTTCAACCCTCTTTTTATCTTTTCCAACACCAATGACGCCCTCAACCAAAATTTATCCTGTTTGGGGGAGCAAAGTGTGTTATACCAAGATAATAGGGACTGATTTAGGCAAGAATAGATTCCTAAAAAGTCCTTATGGTCGTTGGTAAAGAATCTAGAAATTACGCGGGAGCCCCTCGAATGTGAACCGTGTCTCACACGGCTACAAACTTACACAACACAATCACAATCACCCTTTTCAGTTCCTTCGTATTCCCATTTCTCTCGCTCGAGTTCCATCCCACCTCAAACCTACAGAGACTTGGTCTCACAGCGCCTGATAAACAACACGAGAAACTGTGAATTGAGTCAATTTATAAGAACCCTTTTCGACTCTCTCTGCGAATTAATCTATATATATTCATATACACGCACTGATTTGCATCTGCAAGCTCTCTAATAGCTGGTCAAATAATCATCATGCGAAATTCAATCGGAGACGAAGATTCATTCGACTGTCGTGTTTTGAAGAAGACCGCCCGTCTCCCTCTTCCGGGTCAGTCCCTATCCCAATTGATTGTTGTGTGTCGTTGCGTTGCGTTGCGGACTGATTATGAGTTTGTCGTTCTTACGTTGTTTTTCTGTTATATGTGATCGATTAGTTGATAGTTACATCGATCTGGAGGATAGTGAAGAGGAGGAAGAAGAATCGGATTTAGAAATTGGATGCCCCTATTGTTCGGAGGGATTCGATGCCCTAGGTTTGTGTGTTCATCTCGAGGATCAACATCCAATTGAAATCAAGTCGGGGGTAAACGATTCCACCATCCTTTTATTCCATAATATACACTTCAATTTCATTATATCAGCACCATCGTTGTCAGCTTCCGATTTAAATACCTATAGATTACAGTGTTTGGGATGGTTAGGTATTTTATCCTCTAACATCCTAAAACGTCATGATTTTATTATCAACATCGTTGTAGCTAATCTTTCTAGTCAAACACCAATAAAGTTACTGTATTTAGGCTGATTAGCTTTCATTTTTCATAATAACCTTTCTTTTGGATGATTGGTAATCAATAGCTTGTACTACTATGCACACTATATAGGGAGGGAATGCTCCCTTCCGACACCAAAGTGTCAAATAAAAACTAGTTTTTGACACTATATTGCTGGAAAAGGGGATTAATATGTCTTTCTTCAAAATATATTCTCCTGTGTTATGCAAAGAATTTGGGGTTTTATTTGTTTTTGATATAGATGGTTTATCTTGCAGGTATGTCCGCTTTGTGTTACTAATATGGGGAGGAACATGATTTCTCACTTAATCATTCAACATGAAAGCATCTTGAAAATATCCTTTTTATCTTGAAGCTAATAAGCTGTCATTTTGCTCCAATACTTTTTACAAAATATGTTGTATTAGATGATGAATCTTTAGGGTTTTTTATTGATCATGGTTAAATTTGTTTCCTTGACTGAAACTATTCACGGTCTTTGTAAAAGGAAGGTGTATGATGATGAATCTTTTTCCATCATGTCTCTGTTAAGAAAGAAGCTGCAAGAACATTCACGATTATCCCTTCAAAAGGAGTCAGAGTCGACCTCTGTAACATCTTCTTCTTCTTTTTCTTCTTCTAACAATGCAGCAACTGATCCTTTGCTGCTCTCATTTGTCTATAATCCACCTCAAACTCATTCTTCTGCTGAAACAAGTTCATCAAAGATGCTCTCAAAGGATGACACATTAGATAGGTACTACGCTTGAGCTAGTTTTACTTTATTATTATTATTATATGTTTTCTTTTTATTTATTCAGACAAAAAGCATTACTACCATATCATGTTTATTTAAAAAGTTTTGGTTATCCTGGTTGGCAGTGACATCATCCCAGCAAGCAAAGACCATGAAGAAAAGGCTCAGAAATCTGACTTCATACAGACGATATTATTATCCACCATTTTCCCTGACAATTTGTAACAAAACAATCCAGATGTTGTCTATCTGTTGACATAAGTGCTTCTGAACACAGAAACAGAAGCAGATTTAAGATGTAGGGACTGGATTTAATTTTATGTTCTGTTCCACTTCCACACGATGTAACCAGAAAAGCAGTTAGCTCATATTTTGGCAGAGTAGTAGTTGTATTAATTTAACAGAAACTCTAAAGTCTCAACTTCAGCAATCACACATCACATTTCTTCCAACGTTGTGTTATTTACATAAACTAGACATGTTATAAGAAAGTATCAAATAAACTAGCTAGTGTTGTAAACAAAAAGGTGCATCCATGATCCACAAATATGGCTATAAAAAGTAGCCTAGCAAAGCACTTTTTGTATGTATGTGTGTGTGTATTTCGACTACTGGATAAGAATTGTCCAAAATCTTAACGTACAACACTAAAACCCTTTCAAGCATTTTGCCTAAATAAAAAAAAAATCCATAAACCAAAAGGTGGATAGGTTATTATTAGTTATTAGGTGAAATGATATTGGTTATTTATTTACTTGTATTATATTATAGGTAGAGATTTGAAATGTGGTCATTGTGAATGGTATCGGTTGAGGAAAAACAGATAATCGGGGAGAAAAGCAAGAGCTTGCAAATTGTTAAGCCAGTTGGTAGCAGCTTGGAAAAGAGCATTATGTTGGTGACATTCCTGTGGGGCATGCGGACTTATAACTGAACCTTTTAGCTTGTAGGAAGCCAGCCCAATTACTGGCAGATGAACCCAATCAACCTCCTCTACACAAACCATAATCATAATATTATTTTATATATTTAAGTATATAACAATAATAAGCAAGAAAAAAAAAAGTACCTTGAGGCTGTGTTTTTGTTGACAGGGAATGAAAGGTTAAAAAAGATGCGTCCAGATCCTTCAATGTTGGGCCCACAGGTATCCGATAGATTGGATACCAAGTCACACATATCCAGCTTGAAGGTGATAGATCGCAGCTCCTGTAGTTGATCAGCCCTGGGAATCCGGATGCAAGATTCCAAATCTGTTTTTCGGATATACAAGACATCAGCATACATAATCATGAAATAAATAAAATAAAATAAAAAAAAAAGTGATTCTTGAAGTTACATACCTTATCTGCTAAAGGCCTGCGAGAATGTGGCTGCTCTTGTTCCATATATTCATAAACAAGCCTTCCATGCGATGATGATGATGATGCTGATGATGATGATGATGATGATGATCTCCACACACTTTTGGCCCTCATCAGATTATTATCATTTTCTTCACTTGGACACCTGCCAGCAGAACTAGTTCAATTCCAACACAAACTATAAAACTACAAATCATTATAGTTAAGACATAACAGTATAACACACTTACAATTCAATTCCAACACAAACTCATCTATGGTGCTTCACTTCTACTTTTGGAAACTGTGACACTGACGTGACACTAACACCGCAAATATATGCATGTGAATCCTATGACCTAATAATGTGAATGTGTGTGTAGTAAGTAGTAACCAATAATATATCAATATTGTCCAAACAGGGCATGTGATGATAATTCTGTATTTGGACATTATTATACACCATAAAGTTTTGTCCCTTGTCCAATTCAATGCAACAAATTAATAGCATTCTTATATGACATAACATAAAAGTAAAACAAAAAGAACATAAGCATTTAAACTGGATATATAATAGCAAACATAAACTATAACAAATCGGCTGAAAGGAAAAAGGAAACAGGAACTACTGATCACCTGAGGTTGATATGGGGATTCTGAGGATCAATGTAGAGCTGAATACCAGACAAAAATGGAACATAATACTGTGTGGTTGGGTGTCTACCAAACAACAACAATGGAACTCCAGCTCCATACGCACTTGGTTCTCTGAAACTTTCCCACAGATCTCCAAGGCAATAATATGTTACATTCTTCTGTAAATGCAACAGACTACTTAGCTGATTGCTTCTAATAATCACACACACTATCATATGGCTCCTTTGACTTGATACTTGATAGTATCTGTGGCATCTATATGACTATTGATGAACCCAATTGGCAAAAAGATGTATTTAAAACAAAAGAGTCCAATTTAGGGCGAAAACCCTCTTCCAACTAAGAGTACCCTACATACTAAGTTAAGTGTTTTCCAATTTCGTGAAGCATAAAGGAATGAACGACAATTTACTTCAAAATGTACAGATATTGAAAACAAGATAACACGGATTACAACAGATTTTATTCAAAACGATACTAATAAAAGCGTAGGGTTTCTTGCTACAGCAAATTTCAAATTAAAGACTACCTCCGACGATTTTTGGGCGGCAACGATTGGAGTGACGGAGTCCAGAAAACTATCCAGGTTACTGACGTTAGTTGGCGGTCTTGAAGGGAAAGACAAAGACGATTCGGAAATCAATGAATGCGTCGACAATGCAGCATTAGAATCGTCGGAATCAGTTCGATTGTCGGCGTCCGCCACCGCCACCGCTGTTTCATGAAGCTGGTGGTGATGATTATGTCTACGTAACTGATGCTGCTGAAACGCTTGATTTTGATGGCGATGAATATTCAGATCGTTACACAAGCGATCGCCGGTATCGTTTCGGGAAACAGCGAAGCTCCCCTAATCAGCCATTATCGTAGTTGCGACCTGTTGAATTTGAAGTGTGAATGTCTGTCTGTATGAATCTATGTGTATGTAAAGAGCAGAGAGTTGGATAATCGAAACGAAGATCAAGAAATGGTTAGGATTCTTGGGAGGTTTTTGAGGAAGGAAAGCAAAGGGAGAACTGAGAACTGAGAAGAGAAGGTAGTGATTGCTGTTGTTTTCTTGAATTTAAGAGAAGACGGAGAGAGACACGGAAATGTTTCATGTGGCAAAAGTTTACGTCAATGACAATAATGCCCCCTCATCCATTTCCATGTGTCCCAAAATACTATTTTCGTCCAAACCCCATAAAATTCATTTCAAACAAGCAACAACCAAACCGGGTAATATTAATCATATTATAGTGTATTAGTGTAGCCCACAAAATGGTAAACCGATTGCAAATAAAACCGGCTTCAGAAATAACACATTTTTTATTCGGACCGGATTTATATAAACAGCTCGATCAGATTGGACTGGTTTTAAATATTACTATTGAATCGGATTATTTACCAAATAAAAATTAAAACTAGATTTTATATGTTACCATTAAAAATCGAGATTTTTGACGTTTTCTAAAATTCAAACGGCTATATGACTTACCCCTATAGGCTTGCTATAAATAGGTGTTGGTTTCATCGAACCACTATAGGCTTGCTATAAATAGGTGTCGGTTTCATCATATCACTCAAAATCTATCTAATTTCATGTTTCATTCTTCAATCTTTAGATTAAAAATCTATCTTCACAATCTTCCGGTGTCGAGGAAGCCTCGGCCAACAACGAAGCCGTTGCTATTCTCGAGCATAATCAAAAAGGAATAAATTTTGGATAACTTACACTTGCATCAAACGATGAATGACATGAAAAGGCACCATGTGGAAAATAAGCAAATCTTTTCAACATGAAGAAAACACCGTATTGAAAACCTATGCTACATGTTCATGCATATAACTTAACAAACAATAAAATTGTGTCCAATTTGGTGGGTAAATCGTACGAGCCTGTGAATATTTAATAGTACAAGATTGTGCGAACAGTGATCTTCACTAAGAAACAAGAATCGCAAAAATAAGAAATTTTTTCCTTGAAAATTTTGAATGTGTGACTCGATTTTGCCAATTAAAAAAAATGTAGAAATCAAGGTGTGATTAAGAGTGGTGGTTGAGGGAGGCATGAGAAGGATAAAGAACTTCGTAACTATTGCATCTCATAAAAGCTTTCCCCAAGTTGAGATCATTACAAAAAAGTGAAAATGGGTTAAGTAAAAAATATTATCACGAGCAAAATCTACAAATAAAGATTGGGTGTTTGATTGGGTGAGGGACATGAAAGATATGGTTAAGAAATAAATGGATGGATTACGGGTATGTATGGGTATGTTATCTACAAAAAAAATGTAATTAGGTTTACTTCAAAAATAGTTTAAAAAACTTATTAGTGAGAGGTGCCCAAGTTGTTAAGCTTGGCCGAAGTGTCATCCGGGATGCGGGTTGGTTTTGCAATTAAGCATATTGGCACGTTGAAGAATATTTGTAGCATATTTTGGTTGAGACAAAAACATGCTCTGACGATCCATGGATACAGAATACCAAAAGAAAAATATAGATTGCTAAGATCAGTCATAAATAATTATCGGCTATGGAAGACGTTACATGGAGTAACTCAGTTTGATAAGGTGGTGAGGATGATATCGTCAATATATAGTAACAAAGAGTCCATGTGAGCACCTTGATGATATATAAATAAGGATGAGTCTCATGTCTTCTAATGTGTGTGAACCTAAGTTGCATGATAAAGTGAGCAAACCACTTAAACCTAGCAATGGGGTCTGTTTGAGAGTATAGAGAGATCGTTGAAGCAGACACACATGATTAATATAACTAAGATAGCATAAAACTGGAGGTTGTTGCATGTATACGATCTCCTGAAGATGTGTGTAAAGAAATGTATTCTTGACATCAAGTTGTCGTATCAATCAATATTGAGATATGTCAATGCTAAGTGTCGTACGAATGGTGGCCAGTTTGACCACGGGACTAACCTTCTAATCATAGCCGATGTTGGGGAGTTGACTTTTTCCATTTGCTATCAGTTTAGCCTTGTACCGAGCTAGGGAACCATATGGATTATGTTTCTTTTTGAACAACCAAATACAATTAACCACATTAGCATTAGTTAGACGTGAAACAAGAACCCACATACCATTAGAAATAAGAACTTTATACTCTTCTCGCATAGCATTGAGCCAATGCAGGTCATGAAAAGATTCAATGTAAGATTAAGGGACCAAAGAAAAGGAATCTATGTGGAGATTTAATTTTTGTATTTGTTTCGAGATTACATGATGAAATCTAGTTGTCATGGGTGAATGGAAACATGAGGATGGCTTTGAGTGGTATGGATAATGGAATAAGGCGGGGATGTAGCGGAAGAGGGTGAGGTAGGGGATGTCACAGTGGAGGTAGGCAGCAGCAACGAGGTGGGAATGGCTGGTGAGGAATATGTCAACGGTGTTGTTGGAGCACCTGAGGGTTGCGATGCAGAAATAAGAGAATCGGAGGTGAGTAGCAGAAGACATGGGAGAAATAGGAGGAGTCGACCCAAGGTAGCTGGAGGAGTACGAGTTAGGAGGGGTTTTTTGGTGTCAAGAAAATGATAAGAAGGGTATTTAGTTGGTGTCATGGAACCAAGTGTGAGGTTGATCTTGTCAAATGTGTTTGTGACAGGAAATGATAATATTTTTGGTGGCTAATTTGAGACAACGATACCCTTGATGATGAGACGGGTAGCCAAGGAAAATGCAGGGTCTACTTCAGGGGGGCTAGTTTGTGTGAAGTGGGAATGTAAAGAAAAATTAAACAGCTGAAAACATGTAAATGAGTGTAGTAAGGTTGTTTTTGGTAGATTTTATGGTACGTGTATCACTATCCAATGTTATGGAAAGAAATATGTTAAGTAAGTGAACATCCATGTGTAATGCTTCAACCCAATAGGTTGGAGGTAAGTGGGCATGAAATAAAAGGGTACGTATTGTGTTATCAATGGTTCGAGAAATGCTTTTGGATTTCCCATTTTGTTAGGATGTATATGAGCATGAAAAATGAATGTGAATTTCGTTGGTGTCACAAAAGTTTTGGAATTCTCCATTGTTGTCACATTGAAAATTTTGTAATTGTATGTCATTTAAATTGATTTTTGACATATGTTTGGAAATGAATAAATTTCGGAAAGAAAAACATTGGATTTGTGATTTAAAGGGCACACCCAATAAAAATGAAAATATTGATCAAGAAACACCACATAATACCTTATGTTAATAATACATCGAACTGGGGATGTCCAAACATCATGATGAATAATTATAAATGGATATGTAGCCATAACTTTTGACAATGAAAATGGTAACTAAACATGCTTTCCTAATTTACAAGCATTACACAAACTAGACGTTTTATTGATCAAACACGTAATTAAACTATGTGACGACAAAAAATGAAGTGTGTGATGTTCAAGATACCCGAAACGTTAATGCCAAAGAGACGACCCATAGGAAATAAGATCTTGCATTGGGTGCGAGCATACATGTATCAGTGTATAGGTGAGATATGGCCCTCAGATTGATATACCATATGTTAGAGTTCGAGTCATGTAGTGTCATGGCATTAAATATTTCGGGTATATTGATTGCTTGATCCAAACTCACTACTAAAGGTCAAACCCATACAAAATTTGAAGTTATTTGTCTAAAGATGGGGACTAAGCATTTTGGCTAGACGGACGGGGGCTAAAAAATTGTTGAGATTGTGAAATAAACCAGCTTATTGGCTGGAAGTTGGGCTTAGGAGCTATGGGCGAAGATAACAACCCAAAGATGCTCCTAGCGAGCGAGATCGAGTGGACGCTTGAGGGAACGTCCTAATAGCTAACGGTAGTGTCACACCCCAAAACTGGAACGGCGGAAACGTTCGGGGGTGGAGGACGTCATGTGTAGTATCACAACAATTGTATAATAGCAATCTTAGTAAACACAACCAAACATTGAATACATGTATGAAAAAGGTTTACATATGTTTAATACGTGTTTGATTACATCAAAAGTATAAGCAAAATAAAAGACATGACTCCGTACTCTCCGTCTTCTCAGAACTTCAGGAGGTACCTGTCTACTGATTTCCTGAGAATACAAGCAGTTTTGAAAGAGTATCAGCATAAAGCTGGTGAGTTCATAAGCTATGTTTTGTGGCGAAAGCTTGTTAATGTATCTAGTAAAATGTTCGGATGTTTCCAAGAAAATCCAATATTTTCTTTAGTAAAAGCAGGATGTTAACAGTTTGTATTGTATGTTCTATTGAAAACCCTGGCTACCACCAGTATGTATAGTATGTTCCGTTTGAAAACCCTGGTCACCACCAGTATGTATAGTATGATAGTTATATTAGTCAAAATAAAACCAATGAAGAATGAAATCCTGTAAACAAAGGTTAGTTTATACTTATTGTGAGTCGTATAACCATGCTTGATATGACTGATGACCTCAGCGACGTTCTTCAGGCGTCGTACGGTATGATATTTGTCACCCCAGGCATGCCTGCCTAACTGTAGCTAGTAGTTTAGGTGTGGGATTGTCAGTCCCGAATAGATCTATTCACAAATCTCATGCTCTACCTCCAGGAGACTCTGGTTACACTATACGTTGAGGATTTTACCAGTGCCCCGAATGATACAAATGAAGAGGAATCTCACAATCCTGTATTAACTAGTTTACGTGTGGTTCCGTAGTGATCTACTGTATTGAACTCGGTATGTTTAATGTATACGATAATAATTATACCTAAATAATTATTATATGTTGTTCTCTTGCAGTAATGAATGTCATAAACTAAATCTGTCATAGTTTATATGTTTAGCAATGTATAACTCAGTGTAATGAAAGCCCCAAACTATACCTATTATAGTTTGCATGAATATAGTATATCCGGTTCGTATATTGTTCTGAAAACTATGCAATCATGATTGTACGTTGAAAACGCCCTTATGCTCAACATAGTACAAAAGGGGATAAAATATCTCAATATCTTATAAAAACATGAAAATCGTTTGTCTGAATCAATTGCATAAGTTTTATACGTGTTAAAAGTCCCTTCGTATTAGTTTTCACAAAATCATTTGTGTTTGGCTTGTATCCCCCCTGAAAATGTTTAAAAATCATGAAAAAGCGTAGGGTATGAACTCACTGTTGATGTGTGAAAACGTCGACTGGAAACGAAGATCCTCGAGTGGTTGTACTTGGCACTTAACGGAATCCTAATATCAAATAAATACACATATGTATCTAAATTAGCGATTTCGCTACATAAAGTGTTAGAAAACACTTGTTTTCGGTTAAGGAATGTTACCGGGACTTGATCGAATCGAGGAAAGTGTGTTTTCGGACAACTGCACCACTTAAAAGGTGTTTACGGTCGACAGGCAGTTTACGGCCGTGAACAGGGTTTACGGTCGTAAACTGAGTTTATGGCCTTTGAAGATCTGGTGAGTTTACGGTCGGAAATGGGTTTACGGTCTATGAAGGTTGGCCGTAAACTCAAGAACAGTGACGCTGATTTCGATGAAAACGTGTTTTAGATGTTTTCAAGCAACCTCCAGGAGTGTTTTCTGATGATTTTAGAGAGAAAAGAGGGTGTTTCGGAGTTTACGGCCAGAGGTTCTAGAGAGAGAATGAGGGAGTTTCCGGTCAGAAATGTTCAAATGAGGGTGGGGGTCTCATATTTATAGGGGATTTTGTGGTCGGTGGGTGGGGTCCACCCGTTGCTGGCCGCAAACAAGTTTACGGCCGTAAACAAGTTTACGGCCGTGAACTCCAGTCAGACCGTGAACATGCTGTTTTCGAGAAAAATTCGAGTTTCGCGCGGTTTTGGTTCCGACTCGCATATATAAATTTAATTATATAAAATCCGATGATGTTCTAAATCAAAAAGTTCGACGGAAAATTAATAAAATCCAAATTTTTTTAACGGAAATTGTGTAACAGAAACGGAAAAAGTTTCGGGTTGTCACAGGTAGGGGGAACAACCATGCATACCAGTTGTAACCCCACTCCCGATGACCATCGTCGACTTTCTGGTTGCTAACTGGAACCACCTTCATGACCACCCTTACGTTGATTTCGACCACTATGACTTTGGCGTCCCCCGGTACGATCAACACGAGTGGAATTACCATAATTATTTTGAGACAATAGCGATTTATTCATTGTTAAATATGTATGTGACGACGAATGATCTGTATGTGTGCCTTGAAAAAGATGAGATTGAATGTGGTTCATGTGTTGCTCTTCCAACGAGAGCATAGATCAGGCCTCTAAGAACTTAGGAAGCGAGTTTGATATCGGAGGTGACTTGCTATGTAATCAGAGTTAGGAGAAAGCTCGTTAATGGTATATGAATTAGGCTACTTGGTTTTCTCCGGGATGGTGGTGTTGATATTGTCGATGAAAACGACGATTGTTTTGATTTTGGTACAATACCAGTGATGGTAGAGTCCTCGATAATGATATTTCGGAGCTCGTTATCTAGTCGAATTGTCTTCCTGTCCTTGTCACGGAATAGGGTTTTCAAACTTTGTCATACTTGATGTGTCGTCACGTTCTTCTTAAGAATCATCCGAGTAAACGTTTGTGATATAGTATCGATAGATCCATAGTTTTACAATGCAATCAATACGATTCCATTCTGCCATCTCCACAGGCGGTCACTACTTTGGTTGTTCAAGATGCTCATGGACTCCGAAAACCACACAGTGAGTCTCAAAGAGTTCACGTCACGTGTTGTAGTTCAACCGGTCTAGATCTAGAACCAATTGTATGTATGACTTTAGTATTGTAAAAATCTCGACTAGATCCCGATTAATCTCCGATTAGTCCCTAGGCACTATCCAACCGACTAAAGGGCGCCTAACAATCAATCTCTGCCTACACAATTAGTGAAGCAGTAGAAAATAATGAAATTTTAACACTTTGAAGAAGTTTTATCTCAACATAAAATATTTGAGGAATAATTAGTATTGTATTAATTATATTAACATATTTTGTTATGTTAGTGGTATTTACGAACTTTTTTTTATTATATTAGTCGTATTTAATTTTTTAAAATTCAACGAATTACAATTTATGGTCCCCGATTAATCTCCGTCTAACCGATTAGTCCTTTAACATCAGTGCACCGTGCACCGACTAGTTAACGTAAAACGTTTTTTACAGCCTTAAGATGACATACAGTTTTTCTGATGATTAGTCTATAGCCATGATGAAAGAATGATTTTCTGATGGCGGCTCTAAGAGAACCAATCGAAGCATGTGCCGATAAGGAGAAGAAGGGGGGGGGGGGGGGGGGATTTCTCGCTCTTATACCATGTTATCTTATGAAAATATACGTACGCACGTATTTTCTCATTAACTAAGCAAATATACAGAGTAGTACAACAGTGGGCTGGACTATCATGATATGGGCCAAAGGCCATATACCAATTACATACATAAATATCATAAAATATACACGCGTGTATATATAGTCAACAACG